TGGTGCTATGTTCTGCACTTGCTTCTTTTGCTCGCCAGACAGACCTGTTTTCACTAAACTTTTCATAACTTTTGATCGCACCGTTGGAATGACCTCAAATGTCTTCCAAATGAAAGCTAACTCGATGCTCTAGCGTGTATCCAATTTTCAGCTCGATCCATCGGTGAGAAAGGCATCAACAAGTACCCAACTTCTGACCATTTTCTGCATCTTTGCTTCCATTCCTTACTCCTTTGTATTAAACTTCATCCAAACATGTTTTCACCTGAAAAGACTCTAAAAACAAAGAAAAAACTCGATAAAACTCAGAAAGCATAGGTTATAATGCGTTAAAAACGCAACACATCACCTATTCCGGAGGGCAGAGGAAAGGAGACTCCCCAAACCCCAACGAGATATTTACCCATGGATCATGTGGTACATATGGAAAGCTAGAAACGCACAGCTCTTCAACGGGATAGATACATCACCTTTAAATACTCTTCAACTGGCAAGACTAGAAGAAGAGAGTTGGCGAACCGCAAAAGTAGAGGAGGAAGACGACGAAGAAGGAGGAAGCCCACCCCAACCGGATACAACCACCTTAACAGTGGACCTTCATCTTTTGGTATGCCAGATCGATACCTCATGGGTGGATCATGGGCCCACTAGCGGTCTTGGATGGCGCTTGACAGATTCATTAGGACAAGTGCACACCGACAGACGAGGATGCCGGAAGAGCCTATCGGCTTTACACGCCGAGCTGGACGGCCTCATATGGGCAACGAAATGCCTAAAGCACAGTCGAGTTACTTTGATTCGTACTGAGATTGATTGCTCGGACCTACTAAAGATGCTTGACGAGCCAATGGATTGGCCAACATTCCGGACAGAGTTGGACTACCTTTATGAACTCAGGGACACCTTTGTGATCTTTCGATTAGTATTTATCCCACGCTCTAGTAATGACCATGCCGATGCCCTTGCCAAAGGGGCACGTGCGTGCGACAATATTTTTTCCATGTAGATCTCAACGAGCGGGCTGAAGTAACTCCACTTGGAGCTGCCTACACCGACCAACTTTGATTTAATGTATGGCTTTTGTCGGATAAAAAAATCAATATTGTTGTGATCAAGGC